TAGCATCCCCACCCCACCCCGCCCCCATAGCCCTGGAGCATTTTCCAAAGAAATCATTTACCAGTGGATTTATTTCGTTGAAGGCAGAATTAGGGATCTAGGGTCCTCAGCACCTTCTGTGACATCCTTCCTCTTCCCCATATCCCGAGAAGCCTCTCCAGAGACTCTTAAAAACAGAAGGGGCAAAGCAGAGCGTGGCCCTGCGGTGTCCCATCTATCTTTGTGACCTTGCAGATCTGAACATGTGATCTCTGTGAGAACATTGTCCCCACACCTTGTGCGTGTGTTAACAATATCAAGCTTGGTTCTCATGATCACAGTGGCTGGACCCCACTGGATGTGTGCCGGGTAGGGCAGGGTCAGTCCATACACAGAGCAATCTTTCCAGTGGGAATAGCCACTGCACCCTTGGCTGCAGAGGAGAGCTCCTCTGGGGGCCTTTCCTGGCTCTGGCTCCTTTTTCTTGACAGCCTGGTGCACCAAGTAGGAGCCTTTCCTCATCTCCCTCTGTGGACCTGCTCTAACTTTGTAAATAGAACCTTATATTTGAAATGAACCTGTTTTGTTTATGTGGCCAACACTTCTTCTCAATTTTAGGTCCAGCTTGGTCCTTACTACATTTAATAATTGCATTCCTCAATTTCTCTGGTACAGTTCATTATCCTGCACTGTTTCCATGCATCCTATCAGGGCCCTGCAGACAAAACCAAAATCCAAAATCAACCAAAGAACATGACTATGTTTAACACAACTTGGTGTAGCCCTCAGAGCACTCAGGGAAAACAGCAGGGGAACACTGGGATCACTTTTGGTATGGAATGTTTAAAAGATTTGGAGGTTGAGGGACATTTAAGGACAGAGGGGCTGTCTTCTAGAGTGGATGCTGTCAGGAAACAGGAAATTCTATTGGTGGTGGTCTTCTTGCATCTTATGCAGAAAAGGGAAGACTGGAGGGAGGTGAATGTTAATTGGGGGCAAAGCAGCAGTCAATTAAGTTCACCAGATAGGGGCTGTTGGTCGCTTGTATAAATTAATCAATGTTCACTTTTCAGCTATGTTCAGACGTGGTTAGAGATCAGAATTCATTTTTGGTCCTGATTATTCTTTTCACATTGAATTTGGTACATGTTGATGCTCCATGAAATTGCTTGTGCTTCACTAGGATTTCAGGGCCAGGCTGTGTGTGTCAAACTTGGTCCTGGCAACAGCAGGCCCCACTGATAAGCCAGCTGCTGGAGGTCCAGGCTGTTTCTTTCTTGCATAATCTCAGGGCCAAATCCTAAAAGATGCCTCCTAGGAGAGGGTTTCAAATAGATTGAGACAGGAAAAAAAAATTAAAGCGTTTCTGGCCCCAGAAAATTAGACTGAAGAAACTGGGACAAGTGTTAAAAGGGAGTCCAAAACAACAGTTTTTGACCATTGCTTCTGCTGGGGGATGCTGTTCCTGTCCTGGTACAGTCTCCTTTTTGGCTCTGGCTGGGGTTGTCTGTTCACCTGCCCATGTGGGAGCTTCTCTTCTGGGTGCCATGTGCATTGCTGCAGCTGGAGCCCCAACATGTGTGTCCATCCCTCCTGCAACCTGTGTTTACTACCTGCTGAGTATCAAGTCCTTGTCAGAGTCTGAAAGCTGCCTCTGCCTGGGCCTCCACACAGGTGTCTGACATTCACACAGATGGTTGGCCCTTTACTGCCCTTTGAGGGAATCTCAGAGCCTGTGCAGGTGCCTTGTGACCTCACCTAGAGCAAAGAGGATTCATTTTGTTAGGAGCTTAGAGACAAAGGCAACAGAATTTGGTGAGGGCCTCGGTGGGGTGAAAAGATTTGTAAAATTAGACTTCTGTGGAAAGATCCCAGGGAAACATAACTGTTCTGACTCTGGTAAATCACACTGCCCCTTTGTGTGCTTTCATTTTCTTTTTCATAAGAGGATTTTCAGGCTGTTCTCTATATTCCTGAGTAGAAATGCATTATTTTGGATGTTGTCACTGCAAGTATACACACACAGTTTTGTACC